CAAAAAAAAGGGGACCCCCCCGGCCCCCAAAATTTAATTTCGGGCCCGCAGCCCCCACGCGCTATTGGGCGCTACAGAGGGTAGGGTGGGGAAGACGCCCAAGAAGGGGCGGCGGCGGCGGCGGCGGCGGCAGCGCGCGCGCGGCGCGCGCGACGGGGGGGCGGAGCAGCGACCGCTGGCGCGGCCGCTGCTCCGTCTGTGCCAGGGACGCGCGCTCTGCGCCGCTGCAGAGCGCGCGCGTCAGGGCAAGGGGCATGCGTGGCGGCGCGGGACGCGCGGCGGCGGCGGCGAGCAGCCGAGGCTCCGTGAGCGGCGAGGCGGCCGGGCGAGGGCGCGGCGGGTGACGGGTCAAGGGAGCAGCCCACACCCGGCCGTCGCTTTTTGAGCGACGCCTGTGGTACGCCTGCGCAGGGGCCGCAGGGCGGTCAGTTGTGGGGCGAGGCGGTGCCGGCCGCGGGCCGGGTGCAAGGCGCCGGCCTCGGCGCCGCCTCGGCGCGCCGCACGGGCGCGGCGAGCCTCTGAGCGGGAGCCGAAGGTTTGCCTGTGGGAGGTGGTGTGGGGGTGGTTTGACTTTGCCGCAGAGGCCGTCCCTAGCTGTGAACAGCAAAACGGGACAGTATTCTTTTTGGAGACGGAACCGAGTGGACACCAGCGCCTTCAGAGGCTCGCGCGTTGATGAAGCCGCCGCCGCCGCCGCGCCCAGCCACTGCCAGCGCCGTTCTCCCCACCACAACCGACCTTCACCGCGCTCGCTGCGTGTAGGCATGGGCAAGAAAGAAAAGGGCGGCGGCGGCGGCGCAGTCTCGCCAGACAGCGGTAGCAGTGATGCCGGCGCGAAATTGTTCAAGGCAAAGTGCGCAACGTGTCACACCGCCAACGACGGAGGACCAAACAAGCAGGTGCGTCCGAAACCAGAACCGGTGTGGAGCCGGCGGCCTGCCTGCGGCGGTTGACCTTGCCCCCGTGCGCAGGGACCCAACCTATGGGGCGTGATGGGCAGGCAGTCTGGGCAGGTGGCTGGGTTCAAATACACGGTCCGTCTCCCGCGCCACATGCCGCCCCAGACACACCCGCCAGGTCTCCGCAGCAGCCACAGGACACGCACCGACGCGATCTCTCCAGGCGGCAAACGTCAACTCCGGCATCATCTGGTCCAACCAGGCGCCGAGTGGCAGACGAGGGCGCCCCATGGAGCTCGCCCCTCACCCGGCCCCGACCCGTCCTCGCGCCACCAGACC